TGAAACTACTGGTCCATGAAGACTGGAAATTTTTTTTTTTTTTTAAAGGTCTTTTCCTATAAATAAGTTTGAGAAGCACTGACCTAAGTCACTTCACTTCTCTGGGCCTTTAATTTCTCATATGATTAACTCAGAAATGGGTCAAGATGGCTACTAAGGTATCTTCTAGCTCTAACTAAAAAAAAGTATCTAAGGTAAACACATAGTATAAATATATATATGCCTTACTGTTAAAATGTACAGCTGAAACTTACTGGATTTTTGTTAACCAATGTTACCATAAAAATAAATTAATTTTTTAAGAAGTATCTATGAATATTCAATGATTTCTGGTTTCCTAAAGTGCCTATATATTTGAAGTATTACTGTACTCCCAATGTTGGAAGTTCTATCACACACTCCTGATTTTCCTTCTACATCTTTGGCTTCCCTTTGCAGTCTGTCAGATGTTAGTGTTCCTTCAGCTTTGTGTCCTGGAACCTAATATTTTCTCACACTACACTCTCCCCTGCAAGACCCATTTTTATAGTTTCAACTGCCATCAATATTACTCCTCAGATGTCATTCCTTCTTCCAGACCCAAATATTCATTTACTTACTGAACAGCTCAAACTGGAAGTCCCACAGGCAGCAACTAACCTAAAACTTAACCATTTCCCCAAATAACTTCTATACCATACCTTCACAAACATCAGCATGTGTACCTAGATATACAAAACAGAATCCTAAGCTTCATTTTGACGCCTCTGACTTCTTCCCATATCTCTGAGGCTACTTTTCTGCCATTAACATTTCAAAACACTAGTGTCTTCCTTGGACTAAAGCAACAGTCTTCTACTGATCTCTATGCCTATCTCTTCACTATGGCCAAGTAGGTCTTTCTAAAATATCCAAATCTGATTATGTCACTCTAATTAAAACTTCACTGATTGCCACTATACTCAGAGTAAAGACAAGATTTCTTAACATGGGTTACAAGGCCCTTCCTAATCTGGCATCCACTTAATCTCTTCAGGTCCATTTATTGCATCTCCCACTAGCTATGCTCTATTCGTTTAGAATTATCATCAATTCCCTAAACCTATTGTCTCTGCTTTCTTGTCTCTATATGTATGTCTGTTCCTATCTCCTCCAGGGCTTTGCCTCCAGGCCACCTGCTAGAAACATCAATCCTTTAAGTTTTAGCTAAAAAATTATTTCTTCTAGGAAGCTTTTCTTGACCTCCCTCTTCTGTGTTCCATAATAGCTCCTTACCATTCTCCTACTGTATTATAATACCTAAGTATGCATCTGTATTCCTGTTAATCTTTAAGCTTTTTTGAGCACATCCATCATGTCCTCCTCATGGCAGTATCCCTAGGATGTGAACAATGGCCAGCAAATAGAAATCTATCAATAAATACTGAATTTATGAATAAGATTCCATTCACGACTCAAAATTATTACCTCCCTAAATTTCTATTCGAATGTCATTATCACTCTTTAAAATAGTTCTTTAAATTCCAAGAGAATTTCGATATCTAGAACACTTGCAACCACCTTTCCTGACAGAGAACTTAAAAACATTTTATTACCAACCTAAGAGAAATGTACTAAAGACTATGAATGGAAATTGGCCACAAAGCCAAATATTACACACACCAGTTTCTAAATTTCTAAAACAAATATGCATTCATTCTACAACTTTAGAGAAATATTAAACTAAGGTCTCTTCTACAATTGAGGTTCTATAATTTCATTTAGACACCTACTATGCACAAAGAATTCTATACTATCAAATGCTTGTACTCTTCTCAGTCTCCACTTTCTTCTATTCCCTCACATTTTGTCCTTACCTTTTGATCATGTTTATTTTTACCTATTCTATAACATTTATGTATCCCTTATCTCAAGAATTATACTGATTACATCTGTGTATATTGTATATGTGTGGTAGGATGTCAGCCTAAGCTGGTGTTGATTGGTAATGCCATGGTTCAAAACATTTTTAAAAACTGTACTTTTGGAATTACCTTTATATCCAGCAGCACATTCTTGCCTCATATTTTGGGAACTGATACGACTTTTGAAAGCAGTCAGCAGTCATTCGAAGTCATGTATGATGAATCAAACAGTAATACCGTAAAATGCAGTAAACTATAACAAGACTGGCTTCCTATGTAACTTCAAATGATTCTAATGGCATCAATGGTAAAGGTGTACAGCTTCTCAACGTGATTACTTCAAAGAGCATCATTTCCTTTGGCTACTGCTTATCAAAGAGTTTCATCATGGAAAAAATGTCTATATGTTAACCAAAAATTTCAGAATTCTAAATTATGTATACTATGATCCACGACGTAAAAAGAAGAAAAAAATAAGAAAAATAAAAGTATCTAAACAAGAATTGGACGATAAAATGTAAAATAAATATTGCTGTTGTGAAAGTGGATTAGTTCTTTTTTTTTAAATTTCATGTGATATTTTTAATAATTTTTTTAAAATCTCATTACTTCACACTCACATATATGGAGAAATTTGTTCTATTTGATGAGAAAAAGTCTTAAAACTCTTTAAATTTTGTTTGATTTCTAAATGCCACAGAAAAGGCAGGACTCATATTTTTGAAAACGCATTGCTTTTACCAAAATGTTGAGTTTCTCGATAAGTAAAACATGTCTGAAATCAGAGCGTTAAGGTCACTTTGATTCATCCAGCAATTAATAAATATCAAATACCATTTTATCATCAATACAATTTAAAATACATGCAGACAGAACTCCCAAATTTCTTTTAAAGATATGTGAAAAAGACTAATGGAGTCAATCATGTTTCTAATAGTTAATCACGATCTTAAAAAAAAATCCCAAAATTATTAATAGAAATTCATAATACATTAGGAACAAACTAAGGCATTTTCCGTTTTTCTAGACTTCCGAATACCATGTTCTACTGAGGGTCTCCAAGTTGAATAGGAAATAGATAGGCCTGTGACAAGGAAACAAACCATGTAGACTAGCAGACAGAAACAGAATTAAAGGAATTAAGTGAATCACTTCGTCTTACCACACTTTAGATTCTGTCTACATCTAATGAAAATGTAGCATCAGAAGAAATAATATGAAGTTAAAACAATCTCAGTTCCTGAAGGAGTGACAGCATTAAAAACAAATTAAATAGGTAGCATCTTAAACCACGTCTAAAAAACTTGAACAAAAGATTAATAACCACGTCTAAAAAACTTGAACAAAAGATCAATATATGATTCATTACAAAGATTTTCTTATATAAACATAATGCAATATTAACTTATATATACAATAATTTTCTAATTTTCTCAATAACAGTGATTGCTTGGCCTTTGGGAAATGCATTACATGTTTAATAGTCCAATCACAAAAGTTTAAAAATATTTTAAAAAGTTATCATTCCACTCCTCATCTCAATTTGATTACAAATTTTACTTTACCAACTTTGATATGTTTCATATCCACAAGCTAAATAATTCATCAAACATCTAGTTATTACTAAAGAGTAAAAAATAAAATTAGCTTTAATTATGAAACGGCAACCTGTCCATAACCTGCAGTAGCTAAAACAATATAAAATTTTACTTAACCAGGTCTTGCACGTCAAACTCTACGCACAGTGGAAACGTTTTCTGCATCTAACAAATTCACAGATAAAGTATAGATCTGCTAAGGGAAGGAACTAACATTTTGACCTCCTTCCAAAATGACAAACTAGAACGGCAGAATTACACTCAGGCACATGGAGTACTCTTCTCTCAAATCACTCCACAGAGAAGAACTTCATCATTTGCTCCGCCCTCTAATAACTCATGCAAAAAAAGTTCAGCACCATCAGAGAGAAACAAGTCATAGAGAATTCACAGAATGGCTTAGGGCCTTTCCTCCAGGCGGTTAGAGGTTCTGCGTGTGCCCTTCGCAGGGAACCAAAGGAAAAGAAAAACCAAGGGTTTGGGAGACTCTGACATCGAGAAACTGATTTTTTCCTCAAAGAAGTTTCTGCCGCCACCCCTATTTTATCAGCAAGAGACCCCAGCGCCATGGCTCAGTCTTTATGATTTTATTATGGGGAGGTGGAAAACGCCACCCAGGATTCCTCCAGGCCTTCCCTATTAAGGTGTTTGGGGGGAGGAAAGTTCCCCCTCATTCTTCTCTTAAAACCTCAGTTTTGAAGGTACTCCTCAGCAGCCCCCCCTTTCTGGCGGCCTATCCCGCGGGATCCGTAAAAAAAAAGCCTCGCCGTTAAGGCGGGAGGGCCCGAACACGCCAGGGCCACGGCAATGGCTCCGAGGGGCCCAGAAAGGGGAAGGGCAGGCCAGGGACGGGGGTAGAATGACCTGGCCGAAGAAGAAAGGAAAAAGGAGGTGAGGGGATGCACTGCACCTCAGGGCTGCAAAGAGAAGAGATGACGATGGAGGAGGAGGAGGGCGGTGGCCCGGGTGCGGCCCCCCACCTCTCCCGCCCCCAGGTCCCTGGGCCGGCGGGGGCGAATGGGCTCGGTCCATTCCTCGGGTCTAGGCTGACGGGGTGGAAGGGTCTCCTTCCCCACTACGAGATGACCAAGAACTAGGGTTTGAGGTCCGCGCGGGCGGGGGCGGGGGTGGCAGTCTCCCGCCTGAACCCGGAGACCCGACGCCGTCGTCGCCTCTTCCTCAGGAGGGAGGACGGGAGCTGTGGGTAAAGCCCTAGGGAGGAATGCAAGAAGGTATGGGGATGCCCGGGGCGGACCGGTCGCTCGCTCCAGACCCCACTCTCTACCTTCCGGTAACCGCGTCTCTTACCGGTGATGGCGGTGAACTGCTGAATTAACCCCTTCAGCGCCGACGACGCCGCGGAGCCCCCGTGGGCAGCCATCTTACCGCCGCCGCCGCCGCCGCCGAACAACAACACAGACACACACGGACCGCCCTCCCCCACCTCGCCGCGCGGTTTGCGCAGGCTCATTGACTGCCACAAGCCCCGCCTCTCACGCCCCGCCCCCTCCCCCCTCCCCGCGGCAGTCGGCGCAGGCGCACTTCCAGGCAGGTCGGAGAGCGGTCTGCGCTCCGGGTTGGCTGTTCCGTTGCTCCCTGCCGCCGCATCCTTCTTTGCAAGCTCTGGTGGTGACTTCCTCTGCTTTCTCCAAGGCCAGTCTCATAGACGCGATATCGATTTCTGGTTTCCGAGGGAACCTTCGGATTCGGCAGGTAGTAAGCTCTTCGCGTTTTAGCTTCACAAGCTTTATTGACAGACTCAACTGCCGATGACAATTTATTTTTTTCTGTTTTTGCAGGTCCATAGTCCTCCTCTAGGTTTCCTGCAGCTTCCATCGAAATACAGAACCTACATCATTGCCCTGAAACGACTAAACTAATTGCTTAGCTAACCTAGTGCGGCGACCCATCCAACAGAAGTAAAATACCAGAACCCTTGGTGCCAGTAAAGCACTGGGTGCAGAGTCTGACACATGGTAGGTTTTAATAAACTATTTACGTCAGTAAATTTGTCAACCTTTGTCTCCCTTCAAGATTTCACTTGGTTTCCTCGCCTGTGAAACGAGGTGTCATTTATGTAAAAGGAAAATGGGTATATGTATATACAGTAAAGAAATGTATCAAAAGGGCGCTGTAAAGGTGTCCTCAAAACGAAAGGGGGTATAATACCATTGACTACAAAAACTAGATAACAGTTATTACTGCACCTCCATTAAATGGAGAGGCTATCAATGAGATCTGTAGGTTTATTTCCAATTTAAATATAGTGATATGATTTTTAGATTACTCTTGTGAAAAAATGGTAAAGATTGTGGAACTGTAAAAGTAAAGATGTGGCATCTGTAACTCTAGAAAAATTTTCTAAAAATTAAATTAGTTAAAAGAAAATGAGGCAAGAAATTAATAATAAAACTTTGAAACCTTTTTTGGATTATTAAAAATTATAGAAGAGCTTTAGAATCACAAGAAAATATATTTAAATACATTCCAGATCATGGAAATGGTTTTTTATTTATTTTTTATTTATTTTTATTTTTTAGGGGAGGCAACCCTTGGTCAACCTCACAGATTGCAAGGACCTTGTCAATTTACAATCCCTTATTTTTTTTATTTTTTATTTTTTTATTTATTTATTTTTTTTACGCCTACAGCACCTAGTCTTCCTAGGTGGTCTCCCATCCAAGTACTAATCAGGCCTGACCCTGCTTAGCTTCGGATCGGGCTTGGTCAGAATAGCATGACCATAGACGAAATGGTTTTTTAAAAAAGCAATTATTATCAGAAAAGAAACTGCAAAAAATATTATACATTGAATAATGGAAAATTGAAGTTTTAGATGACAACACATATCCCAAAGCTAAATCTCAGTTACTATTTGGATTATTTCACCAAATTACTCTAGAATTTTGTTTTTAATTTTAGCTCTGGTTTTAAGACACTTTATCTCAAAACAATGCGTAACATGTTTTTGCAATTTAATGGAATGACAGAGTAAATGAGCTAAAAGGGATATTCAACATAATCTGATTCAACACGTATTTTATCATGACTCTTGAGATTCAGAGAGTTTGAGAGAGTTCTAGGTTACACAGTAGTCGAGTAGAGCCTGGAATCCAAATCCCTTGAATTCTAGACAAATGTACTATACTTTGATTGTAAATTAAAATGGCAACATTTCTTTTGTTTAAAAGAACAAATAGATTACATATGTAGTTTTCAAAATCCAACTATAGGCTATTGACACAAGATATAACTAAACATAAGGATAAAGAAAAGTTAAAAAGTAAAAAAGATATACAGAGGTAGTATTAAGGAAATGGAATAGCTATATTAATTTCAGACAAAATAGACTTTAAAGCAAAATGTATTATTAGTGATAAAGAGGGTCACTATATAATGACAAAAATAACATCGCTAAGGAGATAAAATAATTCTAAATCTGTATGTACCAAATAACATGGTCACAAGTGTATATAAAGAAAAATTGATATTTAAAGAAGAAATTTGTCAAACGTACAATTACACAGTGCCCTTAGACAAAAGTAGTAAAGCTGTAGAAAAGACTCATTCTATTCAAGCATATGTGGAACAAAATAAAAATTGACCATAAAGCAAGTCTCAACAAATGTCAAAGCATTATTATAAAATAGAACATGTTCTTAAAGATCAGTTAAGTTAAAAATTAGTTTTAAAAGGATAACTTTTAAAAAACTCATATACGACTTGGAAAACTGAAAACAAACTTCTAAATAATGAATGAACCAAAGACAAAAATGGTGTATTGTTCAAGGTCCCAACAGGTAACAGATGATCACTCAAATGATTTATAAAGGAACTAGTTTTAAAGGTGAGCGTGGAATATATGGGAATCAAGAGAGTGAAGGATCTGGGACTAGCAACAAAACAGTTACAACTTCTAAGTCCGAAGAGACAAAGAGAGGAGTTACTGGAATCCCAAGGGAGAAAGAATCAGAAGAGCAGGTCATGCTATCTTTTAAGAAGCAGAGGCTTATGTCAAGGAATACAATCAGCCTGAGGCAATCTCACAGAGAAGAGACCAAAGAAATAATATCCTGAGCTCTCTCTCCTCTTCCATTTCCTGCCGGAAATCCTTACTGGCAGAACCCAACTAGAAGACAGAGGGCACAGTCAGCCTGTGGGACAGAGAACAGGGTAGAGAAAAGAGGAAGTGAATGGTTCTACAGGAGCAAGGGGAAGTTGATAGGTACACATGGAAAATATTTAAAACTGAATGGTCATGGAAATACATATCAAAATTTGTGGAATGCAGTTTTAACATAAGGAAAAAAATGTAAACTTAAATAGTTATATCAGAAAAGACTAGAAAATGAGTAGCTCAACATCTAATCAAGAAGCTAATAAAGGAACAACAGAGTGAACCTAGGGAAATTTGAAGGGGAAAATGCAGAAATCAATAAAACAAAATACAAATGAAAGGATTCATAAAACCAAAAGCTGATTCTCTGAAATAACAAAATTTAAATCCTTTGGCTAATTAGATTAAGAATAAAAAAGATAAGAATGAAAAAGGGACATAGATATAGCAGTGATTTTACAAATAAGAATATTTTGAACAATTTTATGCCAATGAATTAGGAAATAGATAAATATCAGTTTCCTGAAAAAAAATGTAATTTACCAAAACTGACTCAATTATGAATAGACTTATGATGATTAATAAAATTGACGTCATCACATAAAACAACCAGACCCAGATAATTTTACAGGTGATTGCTACCAAAAAAATTAAGAAACAGATGATCCCAAATTTATTCAAATTATTCCTGAGAAAGAAACAAAGGGGACACATAGCTCCTTCTATGAGGCTAGCATAACCTTAATATCAAAACCAAACAAAAAAAGTAAATGAAAGCTCAGCCTCACTTAAGCGTACTGAAACAAAAATATTAAACGAAACCAAAATTTAGAAATCCAGTTACACACACAGACATACATACATACATACATATATGTATACATTCATTTTTAAATTGATTTATCTCAGGAATGCAAGTATAATTTTATAGTATAGAGGTCCTTCAATGTAATTCATGATAGTAGAACAAATGAGAAACCACTTGATCCATTTGATTAGATACAGAAAAATCAGTGATAAAAATCATTCCATTCACAAAACTGCAACAAAAACCTTTAACAATCCTGGTAGGAAAAAGGAACTTCCTTAATCTAATAAAGTGTATTCACCAAAAATAGACTAAAAAGCATTACACTTAATAATAAAACATTTAAAGTCAAGAATAAGTATCTTCCCATAAGTGGCCTAAGGTGACCTCTGAGAATGGTTCGCTATGACCCCCCAAAAACCCCATAATATCATGCAAATCCAAAGGTTCAAATCTTCGTGTTCACTTTAAGAACACTTGTGAAACTGCCCAGGCATCAAGGGTATGCATATCCAAAAAGCCACCAAGTATCTGAAAGATGTCACTTTACAGAAGCAATGTGTGCCATTCCATCGTTACAATGGCGGAGTTGGTAGGTGTGCCCAGGCCAAAAAATGGGGCTGGACACAGGCTCCGTGGCCTAAAAAGAGTGCTGAATTTTTGCTGCACATGGAATATTGCAGAGAGTAATGCTGAACTTAAGGGTCTAGATGTAGATCCTCTGGTCACTGAGCACATCCAGGTGAACAAAGCTCCCAGGATGTGGCTCAGAACTTACAGAGCCCATGAGCGGATTAACCCCTGGCTGAGCTCTCCCTGCCACATTGAGATGAACTTCACTGAAAAAAGAGCATAAAGTTCTTAAATCAAAAGAGAAGGTTGCACAGAAGAAAAAGATACCCCAGAGGAAACTGAAGAAACAAAACTTATGGCCCAGGAGTAAATTTAGCATTAAATAAATGCTAATAAAAGTTAAAAAAAAAAAAAGAATAAGTATGTACTCTATGACTATTATGACTATTTCTGTTAAAAAATATCCTAGAGATGCTAGCCTTAGCAATAGCAATAAGTTAAAAAATAATATTTTTTAAAAGAACAATAATATTATAGACTATGATTATTTACACAGAAAATCTAAAAACCGACAAATTTTTGAACCAATAAAAGTTCAGGTACGTTTCTGAATATAAAACTAATACACATATTTAAAAACTATTTCTAAACATGAGCAACAATTAGTTTGAAAATGTAATTTTAAAAATATCCCATTCACAATAGCAACTAAAAGTGTAAAGTGCCTAAGCATAGATTTAACAAAATGTATTAGGTCTTATGAAGAAAATGATGAAATTTTAATGATAGGCATTAAATGAAGAATATATTAATGTATAGGAAGACAATTATAGATGCCAAATATTTCTATATACTAATCAATAAATTCAATGTAATTCCAATCAAAATCCTACAGAGATTCTCAAGATTTTAATAAGGTGATTTTTAAATTCAGGAACAAAAGATCAAGATAGTCAACACACTTTTTTTACATCAAATATTTAAAAAGATTTTTATTAAAATATAGCTAACACAACATTATATTAGTTTCAGGGTTAAGCCATAGTTATTCAACATTTATATACCTAAAGAAGTGATCACCATGATAAGTACAGCAACCATCTGACACTATACAACACTATCACAATGTTATTGACTATATTCTCTATGCTGTACATTACATCCTCATGACTTATTTGTTTTATACCTGGAAATTTGAACCTCTTATTTCTCTTCACCTTTCTCCCCGCCTGGAAAAATTTTTCAATTACAGTTGACATTCAATACTATTTTATATTAGTTTCGGGTGTACAACATAGTGGTTAGACATTTATGTAATTTACAAAGTGATCCCCCTGACGAGTCAAGTACCCACCTGGCTGTATTCTCTATGCTTTACGTCCCATGACTATTTCATAACTACCAAATTGTACTTCTAATCTTCACCTTTCTCACCCCGCCACCAACTCCTCTCCTATCCAGCAACTATCAGCTTGTTCCCTGTATCTATGAGTCTATTTCTGTTTAGTTTGTTTATTTTGTTCTTTAGATTCCACATATAAATGAGACCATATAGTATTTGTTCTCTGTTTGACTTATTTCACTCAGCATAATACCTTCCAGGTCCATCCATGTTGTCTTAAGTGGTAAGATTTTATTTTTTTATGGCCTAGTAATATTCCATTGTATATGTACCACCTCTTTTTAATCCAGTTATCTCTTGATGGGCACTTAGGTTGCTTCCATATCTTGGCTATTGTAAATAATGCTGCAGTGAACATAGGGGTGTATATATCTTTTCAAATTGGTGTTCTGGATTTCTTCAGATAAATACCCAGAATTGGGGGTGCTGGGACATAAGGTAGTTCTATTTTTAACTTTTTGAGGAACCTCCATATTATTTTTGATAGTGGCTGTACCAATTTGCAATCCCACCAACAGTGCATGAGGGTTTCCTTTTTTCCACAGCCTCACCAACACTTGTTTATTGATTTGTTGATGATGGCTATTCTGATAGGTATGAGGTGATATCTTGTGGTTTTAGTTTGCATTTTTCTGATGATTAATGACATTGAGCATTTTTTCATGGCTATCGGCCATCCATATGTCCTCTTTGGAGAAATGTCTATTCAGGTCCCTGCCCATTTTTTAATTGAATTGTTAGTTTTTTTAGTGTTAAGTTGTGTGAGTTCTTTATAAATTTGGATATTAACCCCTTATTGGATATAGCATTGGCTAATATCTTCTCCCATTCAGTAGTAGGCTGTCTTTCCATTTTGTTGATTGCTTCCTTTGCTGTGCAAAATCTTTTTATTTCATGTAGTCCCATTGTTTACTTTTTCTTTTGTTTCCCTTGCCCAAGGTGACATATCAGAAAAAAATGTTACTAAGAACAATGTCAGAGTTACTACCTATGTTTTCTTCTGGGAGTTTTATAATTTCTGATGTTACATTTAAGTTAAGATACTTTTGAAGTAGAATGAGTGGAAGTTTTGCCCTACTAGATATCAAGTATTATTATAATGGTATAATAACTAAGACTGTGTGGTATTTGTGGGGTAGAGGCAAATCGAATACAGAATAGAGTCCAGAGAAACAGACACAAAATATATGGACACTGTGACAGAAGTGACATTACAAATCATTGGAGGTAAAGATGGACTAACTGATCTATGATCTTGGAACCAAATAAAAGTAGATTCAAACCCTATATCAGATATAAAAATAAATTGTAGATTTATCAAAGGTTTAAATAAGAATAGCAAAACTTTACGACTTTCAGAAGAGAATATGGGACTTATTCCAATAACTTCAAGTAGAACTGCTTTGTGTAAATTAAGAAGGGGGATAACATTCACTTTGTACTCCAGGGGGCACCATTCACATAGAACACGGGTTACTAAAAAGTCCTCAAGTTGTGGATCATGAAAGTCCTGACAAAAAAGGGGAAGATTTCTTAAAGAAGACATAAAATCACATGCCATAACAGCAAAAGTAATAAATTTGACTACGTTAAAATTAGAAATTTTTGTAATGTAAGGGGTGAGACTGGAATTTAACTCAAACAAAAATGAGCTGACAAAAAAGGTTGAAGAGTAGTGTGCTCAGCAACTATTAAAAAAAAAGTCTATGGCCGTGCTACCCTGAACACGCCTGATCCCATCTGATCTCAGAAGCTAAACAGGGTTGGGCCTGGTTAGTACTTGGATGGAAGACCACCCAGGAAGATCAGGTGCTGTAGGCATAAAAAAAAAAAAAAACAAGCCAAAGAATAAAAGTATCTATGGGTTTTTTTTTTTTCAGCATCTTTCAAGTGGACCCAGTATTACTGCCACCAAAAAAAGATATGTTACATTGTGGGACGGGCATTAAGTTGTTTAGGTTATTATGAATTATAGTAGGAAACCCCAACTCAGCTGGCTTAAATAGTAAGAAAAGTTAGGTCTATGTCCATGACCTCAGTGCCCCAGCTCTGCTTCTCTCTTGACTTTCCCTCATCTGTTTAAGCTTTGTCCTAAGCTGGTAGTAAGATAGCTGCAGGAGTTCCAAGCATCACATTCAGATACCATAACATCTAGAGGAAGAAGAGCCAATTTATATCTTCTGCTGAGTCATTTTTTTTAAAACTGAGAAAGGAAACAAGCAAATGTTTTTAGAAGTCCCTTGAGAGACTCTCCTTCAAAATTCAGTGGTCTGCATTGAGTCACAATTCTGTTTCTAAAGCCATCCTTGCCAAGGGATGTGACATAAACATTACTGGTTTAGTAAAGCATATGGCTTTGTGGAGGAAGTGGATACCTCCCTCAAGTCTGGTGCTTTTAGGAAGAAAGAAGAAGGGAATGGGTGTTAATTAGGCAATCAGAATCTGCACCATTCATTCATAAAGTTTCACTCTGAGAAAGATGAAATATTCCTCCACTTCCATTTGTTTTCATTCTACCTTTACATAGAATTCGTTTGAGTAATATTTAAACTTTCCAATTCCTTGATACCTTTCAGAAAGTGGTATAAGATGGTCCTTTCTAATCCCTGACGATCAGCCTGTGGCCTGCCAGATTTTGCTTGTGGACCTCAGGAACCTTGCCGGGAGTGAGGGGGGCAGTGTAAGAATATGTTGGTCACTGGCAACTTCTGTCTTCCAGTATGAGATTTAAAAAATGGTATTTTGGTGTAGGGTTAGAGTTTTCTGTTTCTATGGTTTTTGCTATTTCCAAAATGTTATATAAATGGAATTATACATGATGTACCCTTTTGAATCTAGGTTCTTATACTTAGCATAATGCTTTCAAGATTCATCTATGCAGTTCAGTGTATCAGTATTTTATGCCTTTTTATTGCTAAGTAGGATTCCACCCTAAGACTGTACCCCAGTCTGTTTATCTGTTCACCGATTTAACGGCATTTGGGTTGTTTCCAGTTATAAACTGATATAAACTCATGTACAAGTTTTCACGCAAACAGAAGTTTTCACTGTTCTTGGGAAGATATCTAGGTGTAGAATTGCTGATGTATGATGATGTATGTTTGACCTTATAAGAAGCTGATAAACTATCCAAGGATTTTTAAATTTCAGTTTTGGCAAATATCACCTAAACTGGGTGATCAAACTTAATATTACTAGGAATGGCACAACCTATATTTTGAATTCCTAATGTGATGTGTTAGGAAATTTACAGCATCACCTATGACATGTTCTTGGCAAAATTGTTACCCTGCATCTAATCGAGTTTCTAGGCCTAATTTCCAGACTACAAGAAACACAGGAAGATCAAGAAACAAGGTAAAGGACATCATGAGGAAATACTCAGACAAATCCAAAATATGGGCATTCACAAGACAAACTGTGCTGGTCTCTTCAAAAAGTCAATATCATGGGCAGGGGCAGGTGGGTGGCATGGCAGGGAAGAAAGGAAGATTGTTCCAGATGAAAGAGAGTAAAAAGGCATTACACCAAATGCAATGCCTTGATTGGATTCTTGTTGTAAAAAAAACAAAAGCCAAAAATAGCTGTGAAAGACTTTTTGGGGTATGGACAAAAAGGGGGCCACATGCCAAACTTGACGAGCTCAGGGAAGGCCAGCATGGTGTGCCCCACAAACAGAGACTGAAAGTAACCACATAGGATGGTCTGAACCTAAAATTTCTAACTAAAAGCAAGTCATGTCAGGAGTCACATCCTGAGCCTGTTGCTTTCTTGACAAAGGTCAGTCATTACCTTAAGTGAACCTATCTATTGTCTTTTTGCATCTACGATAACATACCCTTAGTATGTCAGAGTAATCCCTTTTTTCCAGACCCCTCAGGGCACAACTGCCTGCACCAGAGCAGGAGACCACAGAATCCCTCTTGGTTGTCTTATCTCCCCCCATAGGAAAACATAAGTAAACATAAGTCTATGTGCTGTAAATGTTAATTATTAACTTTCCTATACCCACCAGTGTAAAAGAAGTATGTGTTTCCCCATTTTACTTTATATCCAATCCCAGAAATTTCCCCTCTTTGCTTTCTCCCGTCTCCATTATCTACCACCAATGTAAACCTCCTTATGACCTCCTTTGATTTTAATGCATAAAATAAGCTGCAAAACTGCCATTCTCTGGAGCATTTTCTCAATTCATTGAGGTTTTGCTTCCTGGTAATTGTTGTCAGTTTGGCTCAAATATGCTGACGGGGCAAACTGAAAATTTTAATATGGACTCAATATGAGTTGACATTAGGAAATTATTAATTTTCTTAGTTGTAATAATGACATCGTAGTTATGAAAAGTGTTTTTATTTCTCAGAGATGCATTCTAACATATTTAGGAGTAAAATATGATGTCTGCAACTTTTTAATGGTTTAGCAAATTTAAAAAATATATAAAATATGATAAAATGTAAACTGTTAAATTTAGGCTAGGTAGTAGTATACAAGTGTTTATTATATTGTTCTTTTAACTTTTCTGTATGTTTGAAACATATGAAACAGCTGAAAAAGTTTAATTATCGTATTTATTGCTATAAGTTCTGTTCATATTTCAAATCTGGTTAGCTATTTTAAAAAAACAATGTGTTGTTCTTTGCAGATGTTTTAAAGCTAACATTTTATTCCTTTAAACATGATAATCATAGTTATTTTTTAATCCATGTCTGATAATTTCAGTATCTGAAATTATTCAGTATCTTCACATCTGTTCATTCTGTCTCTTATTTATACTGCTTCTCATATATGGTACCTGGGTTTCTGTGTGTGTGCTTGGTTTATTTTTTTTTTTTACTGTGAGGTGCTTATTTTTTGCAAAATTATTTATAAATTTTTGAGATCTAAGATGAAGGCACATTTCTCTAGAGGGAATTTACTTTTATTCCTGCCAACCACTTAGGGTCACTACCATACTGAGACCAATTTAAACTAAACTTATAACTTTTTGAACCACACAGGGCTTCAAATCAACATTTGAGAGATGGACTGGGGCTACAGCTTCTCAGAGACAGCCCCCAATCCCCATTACCAATTATCAATGCAACCTTCCATGTAGCCCCATGTTGATGGAGAGTGGAAGGGTTACTTCTGATTCTCCTACCAGAGGGGTCATACTGTTATGGGGAGTGGTTATTATACTCCTTTTATAGGCCAAATTGTGTATCTCTCCAAATTCTTATGTTAAAGCTCCAACCCCTGATACCTTAGAACGTGACTGTATTTGCAGTTAAGGCCTTAAAGAAGGGTGGGCTGTAATCCAATCTGACTAATGTCTTTATAAGAGGAAATGTAGGCACAAAGGGAGACACCAGCGATGACGTGCACAGAGAAAAGGCCAAGTGAAGACACAGTGAGAAGGTGGCCATCCACTAGCCAAGGTGGCCGCAATTAAATCAAACCCGCCAACACCTTGATCTTGGACTTCTAGCCTCCAGAACAGTGAGAAGAATAAATTTCTGTTGTTTAAGCCACTCAGTCTGTTGACATAAGAACATCCAAAACTGTAGAGAATTTTATGAGTTTGAGTAAAACTGATGACATATGCCAGATAGCAAGATCTCAAATGCTCTGAACATTAACAGTTTTGCAGCTTCTTTTATGCACTGGAAATTCAGTATAAGGAAGATTGGAGAAAGCACGGTGGGGATTGGATTACAGGATGGTTAACAGGATTATATGCCCCTTTAAGGGTTAATGCCCCCTTTGAGGGATATTACTTCTATTATTTCAAGGGCGTGTTAACCTTGATGCACAAGGACAATGGACAGGGCTGGCTTAAAACCTTTCACTAAAGAATTTATAGGCCTGGGGCGGGACTACCCACCACAACCTGCCCAAAAAGGAATTTATGACCAGATCACTCTGTGAGGTTACTTTCCATAGAACCCCCTTTTTCTTTCATCCACAGTCTGTGGTGTTTTGTAATGGTAGACCTAGCAAACTAATTCAACCTTGTGTGGCCTTGGCCTTTGTCTTCTTTATACCCCAAGGGGCTGTGAAAATTGTAGCTCAAGTTTGCCCTCAAAGAGGGGAGACTTCACTGCTCCCTTTTCCTTTCAGAGGTTCCACATTCTCTTTGACCTTGGCCCAATAATTTCTTACTACCTTGTATCTCTTGAATTGTTTTAAGAAGTTTTGTTTGTTTTAAAATAGTATCCAGTATTTTCAGTTGTTTTCTGTGGGACAGTCTATCCAAATACTTACCTCCACAGATCAGCTTTGCTGGAGCTGCAGCTCCACTGTGGTGAGGAGTTAATGTACTGAAGATATCAACAGCCCCAATAATGGAAGACTTCAAGAAGGAAAGGTAGAGGGAGGTAGAGTGGGATAGCGAAGAAGGGAGAGAGGGAGGCAAGTGGGGAAAGAGAGAGCAGAGAAAGTGAGAGAGATGGAGAAGGAGGTGAGAGGGAGAGAAAGAAAGTCAAGAAACAAATATAAGAGATCAAGAAGAGGGAAAAGTGAAGGACAACCTCAAATCTTTGAGCCTGGGAGGACTGAATTGTGGTTTCTATCAAGAAGTTTAGACGAAAAGTATATTTTCAGAGAATGACCATGAGTACCGCTTAGAGTGAGAGTAAGACATTGAAGTGTAATAAAGGAATAATATTTTCAGTGAAATGAGAGCTACCATATAGTAAGTATAAATCTTAGTGCACAAACTCATATAATAAGAAACATAATTTTGTTTTTCCCTAACTCAATTTAACTTTTAATCATTTCCAGACCAAGGAATCTTTATGTAGTCTAGAAGTGGGTAGCCTGCTTACTAGTCATTAATTAAT